TTAGTATACATTATATATAGTATAATATTAGTATATATAGTATAATTTAGTATATATAGTATATATATATATATATATATTATTAGTATATGAATAATTAGAAATGCATGGAAGTGTGTTTATGTAACGAAGATGCCTCAGTACTGTTAAAGGTGATTGAGATGTGTAAAGAGAAAACAAGTGCAATAAAGATGAGAATAAGAATAAGGAAAAAAAAAGATCAGGAGGAAAGGCAATGCCAGCTTGGGAACAATTTCAGAGCTGGCGAAAAGCCGCTTCCAGGATTCCCACGAGATGAACCACCACGGCGGCATTTGTCCGGGGAGCAACTGCGGAGGAAAAAGGCTAGACTGGGCTTGGAGCAAAGAACAGCTGCTAGTCCCGAGGGGCCGGTGTTTGCACAAAGGGCCCTCTGTCAAAGGGGCAACGGGGAAGGACAGCTTGCCAGACGAGAAGCACCATCCCAGTGGAAGTTACAGGAGCGCTCCACTCAGAAAAGTTCATTTTTTTGTTATTTGGGATTATATCATTTCCTTCCCATTGGCGTATTCCTTTGAAGCTTCACCTGGTGGGAATCTGGAACGGGGCAGCACGGAGAGAGAGAAGAGAGTACGCCTAGTGGAGGGGTCTCCAACCTTGGCCAACTTTAAGCCTTGTGGACTTCAACTCCCAGAATTCCATAGCTGGCTGGGGAATTCTGGGACTTGGGAGTCCTACAAGGCTTAAAAGTTGTCAACGCCGGACCCTTCTGCACTTAAGGGGTTAACAACACCCTCCATCCATCACAGCTAGGTTCAAGCATCGCTTTAAATTCAGGTGGAAGTAAATAAAAGGGAGTTGAAGTCCACAGAGGTTTAAAGTTGCCAAGTTTGTGCAATTTGAGGGCGGAAAAAGGGAGGAAGGCCCAGGATTCAAGCTTTGCAACTCAGATGAGTAGCAGCAATTAATTCAGGGAGAGAGGAAAGTGTGTATGTGTTTGTGTGTGTGTGTGTGTGTGTGTGTTAAACTGTTCCTAGCTGCTGCAGGCACCGGTAGTCCTCTACTTACAACAGTTCGTTTAGTGACCGTGTCAGTGGCGCTGGAAAATGTGATTTACGGCTGTTTTTCGCAGTTATGACCTTTGCAGCATCTCCATGACCACGTGATCAAAATTCAGAGGCTTGGCCACTGGTTCGTACTTATGGCCGTGGCTACGTCCCATGGGATCTACTTTCGCGACCATCCGACCAGCCAAGCCCATGGAGAAGCCGGATTCGCCTGAACTGACTAACTGCAGCGACTTAACAACGGTGGCTGGGAAGATCGTAGAATGAAAGAAAGCCTCTGGGGTGTCTTAAAGTCCCCTCATACCCCCCCCCCCCCCCCCATGCATTCGAGGCTCAACCTCAGCAAAAACTCTTGGCACTGGGCTAGAAACCAAGTGTGTGTTTTTTGCATTCTCCCAACTGGCTGCAGATCTTAAAAGCCATATATTTTATGCAGAGTTGCCTTGACGTCGTTTTTTTTAAACCACGATTTATTTATTTTAAAATGCACGCACAGCTGAATAAAACGTACGCAAGGAAAGGAAAATGGAAAGGAAGCAGACAGGCGAAGGGGTGACTTTCAACGCAGCCCAGATGCCGGGGGAATCTGCGGGAATTTTCTCCCCAAAAGTGGACCAGATTCCTGCTTGGTTAACTAGGAAATAAAAGCTGCTTAGGGGTGTCTCTCCCGAGATTGCTAACTGCGCCCCTAAGTTTGAAACATCACATTGTGGGGAAAAAAGCAGGCATGTGATTCAGTGGTGGTATTCGACCAGTTCTGCCCAGTTCTGGAGAGCCGGTAGCAGTGATGAGCAGTGGAGACCGAACTGGTTCTCTTCGCTGCTCTTTGTTTGGCCCACTCGGGCTCCATAGTCACTTTTATGGCCAGAATTCAAAGTGCAGCTGCTTTGCGCGGCGCAGAATAGCACCGCGCGGCAGCTGCTGCAGCGACCAGCATCATGCAGGCTTGCAGGAGGCAAGTTAGAATGCCTCTGCGCCTGCGCAAAGTGCGTTTGGTGCACGCGGGCATGCAAAGTGTGTGCCATGCGCGCAAAGCGCAGCCACCAAGCCACGCCCACCGAACCGATGGCGACTTTATTTGAATACTGTTAGGGATAACATTGTTTACCCTAACTGGTTTGGGTAAAAATAATAAATAAGTTATCATGGTTTGTTGGTTAAAGTGTGTGTAACTTAACTACAAGAATGTAATTAAGGGTGTGGTTGTAAAAGCACCATAAAAGAAGCAAGTCAATTGCAGCTCTCTCTCTGGCTTAATGATCCCTAATTACTGGATGGATTGATGACTGTGTTTTTCCTTACTGGAACGGAGGAGAGAAAGGAGTGTTGATTTCTCAACGGAGAGAAGAGATAATACTGACTGATTTATTGTAAGTGAACTGACATTGGCTATTCAACACGGACTTTGCAAATTGAGTATCCCCGACTGGACTGACTGAAATGATACATGACTAATGGACCGTTTATTTTGACTATGCTATAATTCCTAATGGAATAAACTATATTTTTGATAGCACAAGCGTATCTGTTTTTTACTGCGTGTTAACTAAAATACAAACTTATCTCACACATTTACCTGTCTGCCTATCTGACTACGCTACACATTCTGTTTAGTTTGTTTTCCTTAACACTCGTTGGGGAATTCAGGCTTAACAAATACCACCACTGATGTGATTGTTCAAAACACAAACACACACGCGACCTGAGACAGCGGCCCCCAAACTTTGGGGCACTAGGGACCATTTCCACGGAGAGAGATTTTTCCACAGACCGGATGGGGCACAGTTTTGGGCATTGCCTGTATCTCACGGATGCGCTTCGCTTGCTTGCACGGACCGGTTTCTGCCATGCCGCAACCCAGGGCTGGTCCATGGACCAGGGCTTGGGGACCCCTGACATGTGTTTCTTCCAAATGTCACACACTCCGACAGGGCAGATTTGACACCCTTCGCCTGTCCGTCCAATTGTTTTGGCTATCTTTGTTGCAGGCTCCATCTTATAGCAACAGCACTAGCGCTTACTTATATACCGTTTCACGGTGCTTTATGGCCCTCTCTGAGCGGTTTATGGAATCAGCCTATTACCCCCAACAATCTGGGTCCTCATTTTAACGACCTTGGAAGGATGGAAGGCTGAGTCAACCTGGTGCCTGGTTGAGATTCGATTCCAGGACCGGTCTCCTCTGTTCCGTCCGAGACTTCCTGAGACCATAATCACACGCTTAGTCCAAACAACCCTCTTTATATTCCAACAGCTGGGAATTATCTTCATTCCCAGCCCGTAATGAGTCCCCAAACAATCCCTCGAGATAAGCACCCACCTTTCACTCCTTTGAATTGCTGCCAACAACTAAAGTGCCAAATTATCTGTAAAAAGCCAAACGGAGCACAAAGTCCACACAGAGCTTCAAGGTTTAATCCGAACAGAGCAAACAAAGCTGCTTCCTGCAAAGGGTCCTGTCCCTTTGCTCCTCCTTTGTGTCTTATGGGAGGGCCAATCACCTCCAAGCCTTACTCATGAGTCACCCTTTTGTCTTAACTGTTCTTGCCTTCTGGCAGCTCTGTGCATATGCGCACTGGGAACAGGCTCCCCTTGTTCCTCTGCCTTGCTGCTGCCAGACCCTGGAGGGTCCCCGCTCCCAGATGGTCCTGGCCCCATCTCTGCATTGGACGCAGGACCCTCGTCTGAGTCCTCCCCACTGGCCAACTCTGCTGCCGTCTCCACAGTCTACCAGCAGACCACAACATCCTCACTCTCTCCAAGCGGTTCCACATGCCCACCAACCCAACAAGCCAAGCCAAGGCCCACTGTGGAAGCATCTTCTCCTCCGATCGTAAACAAACCCACCTTTGTGATGAGAATCCGGTACTTCTCCACCAGGAAATCGTTGTTGTGGCATCCTGCCAGGAGCTGCCACACCTCACCCCGCAGAGCTTCCGGGACGCCGCTCCTCACCAACGCAGACAAGGCCTTAGGCCGCACGCTCAGGTTCAAGTGCCTGGAAAGGAGGGAGCAAGAGCTCAGCTGGGGCTTGGGAATAAGGGAAGGCACACCCCGGGGCGGGAGGGGGGGCGGGTTCCTTCTTGCGTCAACCAATCAGAATCAGAATAGAATAGAGCTGGAAGGGACCTTGGAGGTCTTCTAGTCCAGCCCCCTGATCAAACAGGAGGACCTATACCATCTCTAGTGACTGTGACTCTAGTGACTGTCCAGTTTCTTCTTTAAAACTTCCAGTGATGGAGTGACCACAATTTCTGGAGGCAACTTCCACTGATTAATTGATCTGGGGTTAGAGAATAACAGAGTTGGAAGGGAACCTTGGAGGTCTTCTAGTCCAGCCCCCCTGATCAAGCAGGAGAGCCTATATACCATTTCAGACAAGTGACTGTCCAGTCTCTTCTTAAAAACCTCCAGTGATGAAGCACCCACAACTTCTGAAGGCAACTTCTGTTCCACTGGCTAATTATCCTCACGTTTAAGCATTTTCTCTCCTAAATTCCAGCTTGCTTCTCTCATTGATCAGTTTCCAACCGTTGCGTCTTGTCTTGCCTTCTGGTGCTTTGTAGAATAACTTTGACCCCCTTTTCTTGGTGGAAGCCCCTGGGGAATGTTGCTATCATGTCACCCCTAATTCTTCTTTTCTTTAGACCAGCCAGACCCAAATCCTGCAGCCGTCCTTCCTATGTTTTAGTCTCCAGGCCTTTGATCCTCTTAGTTGCTCTTCTCGGAACTTTTCCCAAAGTCTCAACATCTTGTTGGTAGTACGGTGACCAAAATTGGTTGCAGTATTCCAGGTGTGGGGGGGGTCTTATAAAGCAGCACTAATACTTCACGTGATCTTGATTCTGAGCCTCTGTTTACACCACCCAGGACTGTGTTAGCTTTGTTGGCTGCTGCTGTCACATGGCTGGGCCACATCAGCTGGGCCCTTTTCAAGGACCAAGAGAAGAGGCCGATCGGTGACTTCCTAGAGGGAGGAAGGTAGGCCACGCCTGGAAGAGCTGAACAGAAGGACCGTCAGGACGGCGCCTCCTGCCTGCAAATCCCAAGGAATTAGGCTCCATCAACAAGGCTTGGGAGGAGGGCAGCTGTATTGGGGCTTGGCCTACATGAACTGCCTTCTCCTGATTGGATGCTTCGAAACGAGGAGAATTCCTAGAACAGGGACGCAGGGAGCGGAGCACTTACCACTTGGAAAGGAGGTCTCCCCACGTCTCCAGGATCTTTTCCGCGCACTCTTTAGAGACGTCGCCTGAGCCGCTGAGCAGGGGCTCGTCGTTATCTGCAAAAGACGAGGGAGAGGCTCAGGGAGGGTGCCAAGCACCGGCCGCCAAAGCGCCCCACAAGGGGGAGCCGCTCTTCCATGGGCGCCTGCCTGAAACCCCCGCGGTCGGGTCTGCCATCTTCGTCTTGGCGCCTCGCAGGCATCCTGCCATCGAAGGCTAGCGGGTATTGGGGGGGACGGACAAGGACGACAAATGGACAATAAGCATGTAAGGGGTTAACGATGGGAATTTGGGAAGGGGGTGGACAACTTGACGAAGACCAGGAAAGCTCTTGGTGCCAGCTCTCAAGGCCACGCACCCCGAGACTGGGACGCGGATCACCTCAAACATCTCGACGTAAAGGGGGTTTTCATTGGCTGAAAACGAATTGGTCAAGGGGGGGGGGGGGGGCTGGGAGGAGGGGAATAATCTGTAATCTTATCACGCAGGAAATTTAGTTTTAGGCCGACTTTACTGCAGCCAACCTCCTTTAGTAAAAGAACCTGTCCCTTTGAGGAAATGGGAGTCGAGGGTCTTTTTTTCCTATGGGGCCTGACTGGGGCAGGTCTGACACCTGCAGTTTCAGACATAAGGGGCGGCCTCTGCTACAGCTGGGCGGCTGTGATGACCCGGGGTGGGTGGGATACAAAACAAACACAGTCACAGAAAACAGGGGAAGCCCCTTTTATTCCTTCAGTTTGCTTCCAAGCTCCGAATATCTTTGACGGAAGACAAAAAAGCTCCCACACAGTTACACGAAGAAGGAAAAAAGCAACACAAACCAGGCAAGATAAGGGCTGGAGGATGTCCACAGATAACACACACTGGGAAGGATTCCAAACTCAGAGGGGAACTATAAACTAGAGGTATTTACACAATTTGTTTCCAGCGTTCGCCAGTACGCAGGTCCAAACTCTTATTCAGTTGTTACACCTGCAGCTCATGAAGAGGATCAAGGCCCTTTCCTCCCCCATAGACCACACCATTGACGTTTCTCCCTTATCCTCTCCTCCCCTGCGTGCCCTGGGATGGAGAGGGAATGGGCTTGGGTCCTCCTCTGACTGCCCAGCCAGCCTCTGCCCTTCCCCAGCCTCCTCCACAACCTCCGGAGCCACATTTCCACTCCCTGTCGGCTGTTCCTCCTCTCCCTCGGGGTCAGTCTCCACCAGGGGCAGGACAGCCGCTTTCCCAGAGACCAAACTGGGCAATTTGCAGAATCTGGCCCCTTGAGTGGTTAGGCAGGTCAAGAGGGCTTTGACTGAGACCTTTTACCCCGGGTCCCACGTGATCGCTTTAAGGCTTGTGAACTTCAATTCCCAGAATTCCTCCTCTAGTCATGATAGCTCGTGAATTCTGGCAGTTGAAGTCCACAAGTCTTAAACTTGCCCAGTTTGAAGATCCTTGTCTTACACAGAGAGATACAGAGAAGGTGTGCCCCCAAATCTCTTGCTTGAAGGCTGCAGCTAGCCCACAGCCTGCCAACGACCCCTTTGCAGGAGACCCCGCTGGAAAATCCGCCTTTCCAGTCTTCCTTACCTTCCTCTTCGTCATCCTCAGGAGGGGAGGGGATCATAGAGCCTTGGGAGCCGGACTGGGGGAGGCAGATGGCGGGGCTGGCAGTGGTTTTCCTCCTTTCCCTTTGGCCTTCGCTCTCCAGGCACACCACTTCGTAGAGAGTGTCGGTGCTGGTCTTTCGGTCCTTCTGCTTGATCTGAGCAACAGAACGACACCCGTTAGGGTTGGGTTCAAAGCTTAGCGGAAATGTTTCAGGGACCCAGGAGCGACCCACGTTCATGTCTCTTGTCCGTGTAGAATAGACCTCTCCTCCATCCAACAGGCTAGGACAGTGGTGGCTAACCTTTTTGGGGACCTGGGCCAAAGATTGTGCGCGCGCTTGCGTGCTTGCGCTCACGTGCCAGCACCCAGAAGGCAATGCATGTCCCCCCCATGCCCCCTACGCATGCGCGTGCAATCCCCCCCAACCCCCTTACCTGCACTGCGCCTCACAGCTGAATTTTCGGCCAGTTTGAGGCCTTTTCCACCTCCCAGAGGCTTGAGGAAGGCTTCTGCAGGCTGAAAACTAGGCCCGTTTCATCAGTTCCTGTATTTCCAGGAAAACAGGAAGTGACAAAACAGGCCTAGTTTTCAGCCTGCAAAGCCCGAAGCCTTCCTCAAGGCTCTGGGACGCTGAAAATCAGCTGTGAAGCATGCGCAGGCGCAGTGAGGTAAGTTTGCCTGCAGCTCACGCGCCAGTACAAATGGCTCTGTGTGTGCCGCCTGTGGCATGCATGCCATAGGTTTGCCATCATGGGGCTAGGATTTAGGAGGGGGAGGGCTCCGATGTTTCACCTGCTTCAGCTTTAGGAAGAAGTTTTCCGTCGAGCTTCTCTTGCTGAAAGGCCAGTAGAGCCTTTCGTTGGGGGGACAGACACGGATTTTGGTCTCCAGGAGGAAGCGGACGGGCTCCTCCACCTCCGTAATCACCAAATCCACAGCTGTGGTCAGGAAGAGCACCTTGTCTGCAGAGGAGGAGGAGGACAGGACCCAATGGTTAGAGATGTTCTGACCTAGGCTTCCCCAACAGCACGAAGCCGAGTCCTCGTCCTCTTTTATTGTTGTGGTCTGCCGGTAGCCTGCGGAGACGGCAGCACAGTCGGACAGTGGGGAGGAACATGGGCCAGTCCGGGAATCTGGGGAGGACTCGGACAAGGGTCCGATACAGAGATGGGGCCAGGGCCCATTAAGAGATATGTGCGGACTCCGGAGCCTCCAGAATCTGCCATCAGTGAGGCAGAGGAACGAAGGGAGCCTGTTCCCAGTGTGTGCTTGCGCAGAGCTGCCAGAAGGCAAGAACAGTTTAGACAAAAGGGGTGACTCATGAGTAAGGCTTGGAGATGATTGGCCCCTCCCATAAGACATAAAGGAGGCGCAAAGGGACAGGAGCCTTTGCAGGGAGCAATGTCGTTCACTCTGTTTGGATTAAACCTTGAAGCTCTGTGTGGACTTTGTACTCCATTTGGCTTTTTACAGTTCATTTGGCACTTTAGTTGTTGGCAGCAATTCAAAGGAGAGAAAGGTGGGTGCTTATCTTGAGGAACTGTTTGGGACTCATCACCGGCTGGGAATGAAGATAATTTCCAGCCGTTAAAATAAAAAGAGGGTTGCTTGAACTAAGTGTGTAATTAATTACGGTCTCAGGAAGCCTTGGTCAGAACATTTATTTACTTTTTCCTCTCTAACAAAGTCCCGGCCAACAGTCTTTCAAGATCGTTCCCAATTACAGACCTTTATCAGGCTTGGAAAAGGGCCAGGCTGATATCTTTCACAGCCACCACACTTGGCAAGCATGCCGGAATGAACGAATTGTCTCCTGCAAAGCCCCATTCCCCTTTCACTCCTCATTTATACTCTAGGGGAGGGGCCATTCACCGCCCACCTGTGGCTTTACTTCCAAGTCGGCCTTTGTTCCTCAGCTGTTCCCTTCTCCTGGCAGCTCTGTGCATGCACACACTGGGAACAGGCTCCAGCTGTTCTTCTGCCTCACTGATGTCCGACTCCGAAGGCAGCTGATACCTGTCGGACGGCCCTGGCCCCATCTCTGCCTCTGATGCAGAGCTCTCGTCAGAGACTTCCCCAGACTCCAGGACTGGCCCATGTTCCTCCCAACCTCCTCACTGTCTGAATCTGTCGGGCCACAACAAGAGAATCGGCTGTGGCTAGACAACGAAGAGCAGGGCGGGAAGACTCTGTCCACAGCAGCATCTTCAGGCTGGGCAGGGAATCTCCTGAATCTACCCACCCTCAGGGGTGGGGGGGGAGAGTGGGTGGATCCCCTGGCTTGTGTGTTCCACTAAGGTGACCAAGAAGATCCAACCTCCTGGTCACCTTAGAGCACAAGGGGGTCTGGGGACATGTTTCTTTCAACTTCTCCCCTCAAGATGCCGCTATGGAGCACTGCATGCCAAAACAACCAGACATATAGTTTTTTCCCCCCAACATGTCACTTGGCTGAACATTTAATTCCCACAGCACTGTACCATTTCTCGTCTTTTCTCATCTTCTCCTATTGCTTTCTTACGATTTATCAATGGTTGTTCATGATTGTAACTATGATTTATGACCTGTGACCTATTAACTTGCTGTTTATATGTACACTGTGAGCTTCTACACCAGAGACAAATTCCTCGTTTGTCTGATCACGCTTGGCCAATAAAGAATTGAATTCTATTCTATTCTATTCTATTCTATTCTATTTCTTTTCTGTTCTGTAATTTTATTCCCTTCTATTCTATTCTGTAATTTTATTCTATTCTATTCTGTAATTCTGTTCTATTCTGTAATTCTGTTCTATTCTGTAATTCTACTGTATTCTGAAATTCTATTCTATTCTATTCTATTCTATTCTATTCTATTCTATTCTATTCCATTCCATTCTCTATTCTATTCTATTCATTTTCTATTCATTTTCTATTCATTTTCTATTCTATTCTATTCTATTCTATTCTGTTCTGTTCTGTTCTGTCCTGTCCTGTCCTGTCCTGTCCTGTCCTGTCCTGTCCTATCCTATCCTATCCTATCCTATCCTATCCTATCCTCTTCTATTCCTCTTCCTCCTCACTGCTCCATGGATGGGGTGGCACTACCTCCCAGACCCTCACAAACCTTTGGGCGTTTCCTCGTTCACTACTTGGAAGTGTGGAGACTTGGTGTTCCAACTCCCGGTGATGATGTACGATTTCCCATCCGAGCTTTTTCCCATGGACTCCTAGAGAGCAGCAGAGAGACCGGGATGGAACACAGCACACGCCCCGTAGCATGCGGTTGGGGGAGGAAGGGGGCACCTTCGGAGAAGACCGAGGGCGCGGGGTGAGGAACGGGAAGGGCCATTTACCAAATCCAGCAAATGCATGTCTCCGCTCTGCACGTCTTTTCCGGGACTGAGAAGGAGGCCGAAACATCTGCAAACGTGAAGGAGAAGGTGCCAACTCATAAAATATTTCTATGGTCTTTTTAGAGTTGCCAAGAGAAAGTGGGGGGAGGGGGGAGCAGTGAAACAGCTTCCAAACCGAAAGTGCATTCCACAAATGTTTTCAAAGATAGGAACTAGGTGACTGAAGTTTATGCCGCGCAAAATTCTTTTTTTTTAAATACATTTTATTAAGTCTCCAAATTTTAAAAACATAAAAAAAACTTTACACATTGTTATCAACATCAAGACATCTTTTGCATTTCCTCACATTTTTCAGTATATCTATTTACTTATTCCTTTACCATTGCATCTTACTCTTACTATAAATCAATATCTTTTATCCTTACATCTCAATCTTCTCCATGGTATATTTACATATTCCCTCTTTCTTTTCCTAATTGCCATTTTATTTTATTTTTTATTTCTAAACTACTCATACCAGGCATCCCAGGCCCTATAATGAATTGAATCTTCTCTGTCTTTTATTTTCATTGTTAGCCTGTCCATCTCTATACAATCTATTATTTTTTTTAATAACCATGCCTTCCGGTGGAACCCTTTTTTCCTTCCAGAGTTGTGCGTACGAAATCCTTGCAGCTGTTAATATATGTAACATAATATATCTGTCTGTTTTATGCCGCGCAAAATTCTTAACTGGAGAGCATGATTGATGGCTCTGGGCTATGGATGAGTCCCATTGGAGAATATAAATTACGATACACACAAGGGGGTGGGGGGAAAACCAGGGTCAAGGGTGACAAGGAATGATGTGTCTCAGAGTCGGCTACACCCAGGTAGTGCCGGGGATGTTAACTCCCAATAAATCCTTTTGAAGCTTTGGAAGTTTGGCTCGAGACTCCTCATTTCATTGGGGGCAACTGCTGGAATCCTGACAGCAGGACGTTGGCAAGAGGCCTTGATCAAATCCAGAAGGAGCAAAGGGAGCCCATCCCCACTTTGAGACTTTGCTCTGAAGACCACCCCTCCCTTTTTTAGACTGAAAAGATGACCTGGTTCAGAAACGGGCACCAGATTTCCCAGGACGGCTTTCCAGAACAGGTAAGTCCCAGGTGAGTTTGAGGGAGAACCCAGCAGATATTGAAACATCTCGAGAAGGGATATCCAAGCATGGAATGGCTGGGGGATTCTGGGAGTTGAAGTCCTCAAGGCTTAAAGTCACCAAGGTTGGAGACCCCTGACCTGGTGCCAAAGGAGGCAAAGAGGAACAAGATCGTTCTCTCACCTGGCCAGGCCTTGAGCGCCCGTGCCGAGACCCGACAGGTGCCAACCTTACCTCTCAATGGCCAATTCTTTGTTAGTGGTCTGTTGCACATAGATGACAATCTTCTTGTCGATCCCTTGCCGTAACTTGAAGCACTGCCTGTCTTTGTCCTTCGGAACAGCACTGGGGAGGGAAGGAAAACCAAGATGGTTACGTTCGGTCTCCCAAAGTTGAGGCACCCCAGATGACTTCCAGACGTGTCTCCCCCTTGTTCATCCTCCTCTTTAACCATCACATAATCCCTTGCGGGGTGCAGTCTGGGCAACTGAAATGGAGAGCCGAATGTTTACTGGCCGGATGCCTTTCCTGTTGCCAATGCAGAGTTTTGTTCAGCAGATATATTCTCATTGTGCCCAGAGAGAGAAATATCTGCCTCTACCTAGGATTGAAATCACCGCCTCCAGATTGTGAGGCGAGAACTCCACCTCTAGGCCAACGCACCACTTGTGTCTCTCCCTTGTTACCCAAGTAACGTTTAAAAAGAAAGAGCCATTTCATTCAGTGAGTTATTAAAAATGTCATCTGTTTAGCTGTTCTGATCAAGGCTTTCTGAGACATTAACAAACACACATTAGTCCCCCCCCCCCCAAAAAAAATTTATTTTATTTCAACAGCTGTGAATTATCATCATTTACTAGTTTGTAAATAGTCCCACAGAAGTCTGCCAAAGTCCTTCAGGATAAGCCTGATAAGCATGCACCTTTATCTTCCTTGAAATGCTGCCAACGACTAAATTGCCAATTAGTTGAACAAGACCAAACGGAGCACAAATTCAACACGGAGCTTCAGGTTTCAAACTGATCAGAACGAACAAAGTTGCTCCCTGCAAAGGCTCCTGTCCCTTTGCGCCTCCTTTATGTCTTATGGAAGGGCCAATCTTCTCCCAGCCTTACTCCCGAGTCGCCCCTTTTGTCTTAACTGTTCTTGTCTTCTGGCAGCTCTGCACACACGTGCACTGGGAACAGGCTCCCCCTGTTCCTCTGCCTCGCTCTGTCAGATTCTGGAGGCTCTGGAGCCAGCACACAACTCCCAGGTGGCCCTGGCCCCATCTCTGTATCGGATGCAGGACCCTCATCCGAGTCCTCCTCAGATTCCCAGACTGGCCAATGTTTCTCCCCATTGTCCAACTCTGCTGCCAGCTCTGCAGGCTGCTGGCAGACCACAACATTAGCTTCCACTGGGCTGTCAGGAGGAGGTGGCACCTCAGCTCAGAGAAAAGGCAGGCTAATTGATCAAGCCACCTTCCACAACCGAGCGCCTCTGAACTGCGATCCTGGCTTCCCGGATTAGGGAAAGGTAGGAGGAAACAGGCCAAGATCCGCCCAACTCCATTATCTAGGGGAATTAAAGGCTGCCAGGGGAAAAGATCTGTTCACATTTATTGGGCTTCGTCAGGCAGTATGAAATTGAGCAGACTTGAGACAGCAAGATGGGGACACCGTTTTAAGTTTCCAAAAA